AATCTGCTCAGGTAATATTCTTGTTTTACTTTTTCTTATACATTTTTGCAAGAACAAAAACTTAATATAAGCAACTTTGGTCTGTTCATAGTCGGTTCTTAGTCTGTTTTGGTTCTGGTCTATTCGAAGTCAGTTCTAGGTCAGTTTTTAGTCGGTTCTTATCGAGAGGAGTCGGTTCTGGTCGATTTTGGTCAGTTCTAGGTGAAGGTCGGTTCTTGGTCGGTCGTTGGTCGGTTCCTGTGTCGGTTCGGGTCGGTTTTTGGTCAGTTTTGGTTAGTTTTGGTCAGTTTTAGGGTCGGTTCTGTCGGGACATGGTCGGTTAAGTCAGTTCTTGTTTGGTTTCTTGGTTTCTAGTCAGTTCTGTCGTCTTGGTCGGTTCTGACCGATGTGTTTTTTCTTTTTTTTTTCAATATGACCTCCCGAAGTACAACACAGATGAACTTCCTGGGATTGGACATCTAAGGATGATCATGGATCCTATGCGGGAGTACTTCCCAGTGAAAGTCACTATGAAGTCAAAGATCGAGGCCCTGGAGGTAATAAGGTAGAATCTAGACCCCGAAACGGAAATGCCAATTTTCAAGGAATCTGCCTTCGGACATTTTATTTCGATGTCTGAAAATATGATCTATTTTGGAGTGTTGACACACTATCTGCTTTTGAGGCAGATAGAAACATAAAAGAGACATGAGTTGTGGTTCATGGTTAATGGAAACCTAACTAGGTTCGGAATGAGAGAATTTGCTTTAATCACTGGATTGAACTGCGGGGAAACACCAGAGTCGGACGTGGTGTTGAAAGCTTTGAAGAATATAAGATTGTTGGAGCATTTTAAGTCCCACGTAGTACTTGTTGCTGATTTAAAGAAATTGCTCACAGGGAAGAAGATAAAAGGTAGCGATAAAGCAAAGATCGCTATCATTTATTTTTTAGCACGAGTATTACTATCTGGGGACGAGAAGAAGACCGTCCCACTGGATTGACTGTCTTACGTCGACGATTTAGAATTCTTCAACAGCTATCCATGGGGCAGGGTGTCTTTTGAATGCATTCTGTGGGCTTTGAAGAAGAACTTGAAATAGAAATTCCAGAAATGGGTTCGGAAAGGATGTAATAAGAGCATCAAGGAAACTTACTCAATATGCGGGTTTCCTTGGGCCTTCCAGGTATGTCATACAGTTATATGCATAATTTTTCATGGCCTTATAGTAAATAATACCTTGTTTTTTGTTTTACTAGACTTAAAAAAATTAGTTTAACGCATGTTTGGGCATTCGAAACATTTCCAACCATCGGCACCACGTTTGCAAAGATGGTTGATGGACGTCTTCCCAAAATCCTCAAATGGGAGGCACGCGGGGTTTCATTGGTCGAGGTTAGACAGATAGACGACCTCATGCAAAGTGGCGAGGTAAGGGTTTAAATACAATATTTTTATAGGTATTTTTTTTATAAAATAGGCATATTTGTTTTTTTTACAATATGTTTCCACCTAAATAATCATTGAATGTATGTTCTTTTAATATAAAGGGAATGGCCATACCAATTCTTTATCCCACTGAGGAGGAAATAAATAGTATGTGCATGAGGTTGTATCTGCCTTATGCCGACCATGAAGATCCTGAGATTGACCAGTTTGCATCATTTTTGGACTCTGGTGCAAGAATGGTCCGTGTCCAGCAACCGAAGCCTCCCAAACAATTGGCTCGTCTCCAACTACTTCCCTAACAACAACAACAACTTCCCCAACAACAACAACAACAACAACAACAAATATAACAACAACAACAACAACAACAACAACAACAACAACAACAACAACCTCGTCCGCAGGATGGTATGTCTATTGATTACATACTTGACATACTCTATCACATGATGGTAGAGTACAATGGTAGACATTTTGAAGCCATCAACAAGAGGTTAGACTCGCTAGACCAATCTGTTAGAAAAATTAAGGACAATATAACATGTCTAGCAAAATAACAATAACAGCCACAGCCAGTGCCTGAGGAAGAACCTGAGATACAGGTTCAGCTAAAGCCTGAAGAACAACTTGAGCCACAGGTTCAGCCAGAGCCTGAGAAAGAACTTGAGCCACAGGTTCATCCAGAGCCTGAGGAACAACTTGAGCAACATGTTAATTCAGAGCCAAATTCTGAATCCAAGAATGAAAAGTGACTTAAAACGCCCAGTAAGTATTTTGAGTCACCTTACACAGATCCCCTGCGTAACGTGAGGAAGAAGATGTGGACCTTTAAAGATGCTGTCGAGGCCTTCAGCAAGTGGTTCGCTGATACTAGTACAGACTCTGAGCTGATTGAGTGCGGTTTTGGAGATTGGAAGAAAGACTTCTTCCGTATCATCTTGAAGCCAGGTGAATGGCTGTTAAATGATGTAAGTAATCACAACATATTTTCTAAATTTATAGTCTTATTTTTTATACCATTATCATTATACTGAATTTATTTTTTATGACTTACAGCAAATTGACGAGGCATGGGGTCTTCTATATATGAGAAGGTCACGGGCACCCGAAGGGTTCAATAACGATATTATCATCCTAGATGATGTATTTTGCTAAAAATTGAGAGGGCGATTCATCACCAACAAAAAGAACTTGGCAACGTATACATTTGACAACGACCTGGATGAATATGTTTGTGGAAAAAAGCGCATAATTGGCCAGAAATGGGATGGAGCGCAGGGCTTCACTATGCCTCTTAACATTGAGAGGAAGCATTGGGTTGCGCTTTATGTTGATTTATCTGAATTCAACATAAAGGTGTATGACTCAGCTGTTATGATGTACAGAGATCAACAGATGTAAAAACACGTGGAGCCAATCTCTGTCATGATGCCAAAGTTCTTGAAGTACACAAGCTTATTTAACCATCTGGGCAATAAACTTGACTGTGCGTGGCCAATTGTTCGTCCCAAGTGGTTGGTCCACAACCTTAGATCAGGTGACTGCGGACTTTACATATACAAATTTATCGAATACCTTGTCCGCAGAATCCCGTTAGAAGACCTCGCTGAAGAACAAGTAGAAACTTACCGGTTGGAACTTGCGGTCAGAATTTGGAGCGAGTACAAGCTTAAGAGGCCCGTGAGTAGTAGTATATGAAATGTTGGTTGTGTTGCTTGTTGTAAAATGTATACACAATATTATTAGTGTTGCAATATTTTTCTTATTGTCGTTGCAATGCATTTATACTTATTATCATTGTACAAGTTATTTTGGCTTTGGGGAAGCTTATATTTATGGGGAAATGCTGCCCAAATTTTTACACAATGACTTTTTTTTTTTTTGGAAAACTTCGACCAATCCCGAAGATGGCAAAACGCATGTTTCATTGTAAAATCGGGGGGCACTAGTGCACGGTAGGGGGGGTGGCACTGACGCGCACGCGCAGGGTGGCACGGGCGCACGGGGTGGGGCATTGGCACGCGCGCGCGGGGGTGGCATGCCGGGGCGGGCCTTGGGTCCAAAAAAGGGGCAGTGCCCTGCCTCCGATTCATGAAATAAGTTAAATAACGTTAAAATAACCAAGAACAGACCATTAACCGACCAAAAAGACCAAGAATTGATCAAGAACAGACCAGAACCGACCGAACAGACCAAGAACAGACCAAGAACAGACTAGACCGACCGAACAGACCAAGAACAGACCAAGAATAGACCATAAACAAATTGTAATAAAACATTAAAAACATACATTTTTTTACATATTTTTTGACTTTTTGGGTATTAATAACCATTGTAATTTATAAAAGAGAAAAAAATTGGTAAAAATAGAAAAAACCTAAAACAGACCAAGAACAGACCAATAACCAACTTTAATAAAACATTAAAAACATACATTTTTTTACATATTTTTTTTTACTTTTTGGGTATTAATAACAATTTTAATTTATCAAAGAGAAAAAAATTTGGTAAAAAAAAAAAATCCTAGAACATACCAAGAACAGACGAAGAACCATCTTTTTCTTTTCTTAGTCTGTTTTTTTTTCTTTTTTTACCAATTTTTTTCTCTTTTATAAATTACAATGGTTATTAATACCTAAAAAGTTAAAAAATATGTAAAAAATGTATGTTTTTAATATTTTATTAAAGTTTGTTATTAGTCTGTTCTTGGTCTATTTTAGGTTTTTTCTTTTTTTTTACCAATTTTTTTCTCTTTTATAAATTACAATGGTTATTAATACCCAAAAAGTCAAAAAATATGTAAAAAAAATGTATGTTTTTAATGTTCTATTAGAATTTGTTTATGGTCTGTTCTTGGTCTGTTCTTGGTCTGTTCGGTCAGTTCTAGTCTGTTCTTGGTCTGTTATTGGTCTGTTCGGTCGGTTCTAGTCTGTTCTTAGTTTGGGAGTCTGTTCTTGGTCTGTTCTTGGTCTGTTCTGTCGGTTCTGGTCTGTTCTTGGTCAATTCTTGGTCTTTTTGGTCGGTTAATGGTATGTTCTTGGTTATTTTAACGTTATTTAACTTATTCCGTGAATCGGAGGCAAGGCACTGCCCCTTTTTTGGACCCAAGGGCCGCCCCAGCATGCCACCCCCGCACGTACGCCAGTGCCACCCCCCGCGCGCTCGCTAGTGCCCCCCTCACGCGCGCGCCTGTGCCACCCCGCGCGCGCGTCAGTGCCACCCCGCGTGCGCGCGCCCGTGCCACCCCTACCGTGCACTAGTGCCCCCCCGATTTTACCCAATTTTACAATGAAACACGCGTTTTGCCATCTTTGGGATTGGTTCTAAGTTTTCCAAAAAAAAAAAAGTCATTGTGTACAAATTTGGGCAGCATTTCCCTATAAATATAAGCTTCCCCAAAGCCAAAATAACCTGTTGAATATAATAAGTGTAATTACATTGTAATGATGAAATTTTTTTTTCATGACTACATCGGTGCGTTTTTACATTTCTTCTGATAATGTCCATATTGCCCACACCTAGCACATTGGTTTTGTCTTCGTGTGAACTCACCTATGCTGGGAATGCGTTTTTACTTTGGCTTACCCCTCTTTGGTACAACTCGCGGTGGAAGAAGGTGAACTTCCTTTACGTGATTCAGAATATCCCATTGCGCCGTATCCGGCATAGGATAGATTGTCTCAGTATATGCAAGAGCCCAAACTTCTGTCCTGTAGTATTTTGAGCATAAATCATAGAGAGATATTCCTGCTTCTCTACAACATGATATTGCTTGTTCGCATTGTATCTGCTTAAGGTCGAACACACGACAAGTGCCATTCCTCGCTCCAATATTGACAATTGCAGTGGCCTCTCCACTTGTCACTTGGAACTCAACAGTATTAAGTCTTGTGGCCGTTAGAAATCCCGCTTTGTTGTGCCTCTCACGAAGAGTTTTTTTCACACTTGGCGTTAATAATGTTTTAGTTTTAGAAGCTTCGACCCGCCTGTTATTAAACCACTCTGACATCTTCGCTTGTATAAAATTAAAGAGGGTAATGACAGGGTAATCTCGAACATCTTTGAGCATTGTATTAACTGACTCAGACATGTTTGTGGTCATAATATTATATTGATTTCTTTTAAAATGAGCACGAAACCACATTTCAAAACGTACCTGCTCCTGTAGGTATCTGGCAATTCTAGGATATCTTGCAGACAACTCGTCAAACAAGACAAAAAACTCATCAATGCGGTAGGCCTCAGCGATTTTAAAGAACAATGGCAGAACACCGCTACATCTGAAATTACTCTTGATGTTTTGAGACACATGCCATGTGCAACAACCGTGATGTGCTAATGTATAAACTGTAGACAATGCATTACTTATACTTTGATTCCTATCAGAAATAAAAACTAATTCCTTAGAATCAGTGATAATTTCCTTCAAGTTCGAGAAGAACCATGTCCAGGATGCATCATTCTCTGAGTCTACAATGGCCCATACGATGGGATAACAATGACGTTCACTATCCTGTGTAGTGGCAACTAACAACGGACTAACTTTCCTCATGCAACCAAAACCTCGTATACAAGGTCCATATGCTAGGAAAAGATAGATAAACTGGTTATGTTCATCAAAATGAATATTGGTGATACTGTCGTGATTAGTAAGAGACACCATATGAAAGTATGATGGGAGCTTAGTGAAGCTTTCTTCGGCCGTACCCCTTAGGAGTTGAAATGCATGCTCATGAGCCTTCCATCCTTTGTAATAACCGAAGTCCGTCCCGAATTCGTCACGGGCATATTTCTGAATTGATTTGGGAACCGGACCTTGTTTGACGCCTATAAATTGGTTTTTCATGCAACTTCCAATAACGGAGTACGTTGCTTGCCTGTGCTTCGCTGAACGCTTTTCTAACGAGCAAGAGTGAACACTATTATACTTACGGATTACAAACATGTTCGATAGTCTCAGTTTGCAGGCTCGAATACGCCCCACACATTTCGGATCCACACACTCTACTACAAGCACGTCTTTATTTGATTTTGTTGTTCGAAATTCAAACTTCCCCTTCAAAGCTGTTAAATGCAGCTTTTCCTTCAAATCATTCTTACTTGTAAAGTACTGACCAACTTCTAAACTAGATCCGTCACTGAAGGTAGATCCATAAGATGATCCAAACTCAGCCTGGTCGATACAAACTAAAGGACCAGCAACTTGTACTTCATTTAAAATGGCAAGTGGTTGTGGCTCTAGCTGTGGCTGTGACTTTGGTTGTGATTGCGACTGTGGTGGAATATTATTACGAGTTGAAAACTCATCTGGAGCTACAATACCCATAAAATCACGATAAAAAAAATCGTCATGCAAAGGATTTCTCCTAATTTTGACAAAATCAATATGTTCTTCTGGATTTATAAACTTCTCATCCACTATCACGTGTAGCGGTACCTCATGGGCTATATCCCTGAAGAATAACAAATCATCATTGTCTTTTATTACAACGGGCAATGATTTCTGTTTCAAATTTGGTACCACGATAACTGCAAAGAATGTTTTTGTCCATCAATTCCACATTTTCTACAAATCTTATCAACGAAGGTTTCGAGGGTATCCTTCTCATCCATATATATGCTAATTAAATTACAGTCTGTATGCCACACCCAACAACTTTCATTCTCCTCCCATTTTCCTCCAATGTAAAAAAAAAATCCTCCACTGAGGCATTGTTTAGGTTTTAAAACTGCAAAAATTTAATCAACATAATAATATGTCATTAAAGCAAACCAAATATACCACGAACAGACTAAGAACATACCATAAAATGAGAACAGACCAAGAACAGACCTTAATTAATAAGAACAAACCAAGAACATACCAAGAACAGACTATTAACCGACCGAACAGACCAAGAACAGACAAAGAACCGACCTTCAGACCAAGAACAAACCATTAACCATCCGAACAGACCAAGAACAGAACAAGAACTGACCCCTAGACCAAGAACAGACCAGAACAGAGCAGAACTGACCGAACAGACCAGAACAGACCGAACAGACCAAGAACAGACAAAATTGACCATATTATAAGAACAGACCAAGAACAGACTAAGAACCGACCATATTATAAGAACAGACCAAGAACAGACCACGAACCGACCAAGAACAAACCTTTTTTTTTTTCTAAACCCAGCATATCTTCATCATATCAGACAATGTAAACTGGTCTTTTACCATGTAAAATTACTATTTGAATGGATTTTAAACATTTTTAACTACATTCTCATCTTAAAAACATATGAACAACTACGAAAAACACCATGAGAGATATAGAAAAAGAAAAACTTACTTAGTAACTCTTCTTCAAACTTCGTTTTTGACGAGAAAAAAATGCTGAATAGGCAATATAATAATGTTAATAGGTTATGCGACGACGATGTCTTGAGAAGAGGAGAGAAGAAATGGAAGGCTGATGGGAGAAGAAAATGACGCGAAATGGAAGAGGAGGAGAAAGAAAACCCTAAAACTATAATTAATGACGTGGAATGCTGATGTAGAAGTTGAGCTACTTATCCAATTTAATTTTTTGGTGGTTTATTTACTTAAAAATACTTTTTACTTAAACTATTTATACAAAGTGCCCCCTTGGGAAGGATATACCTTTTCTGATCAACAAGGGCAAACGACGTGTGGAAAGAATATAAAAGTCCATACGCTTCTACATTTCCCCAGATACAATTTGTTTTTTAATCTAAAGCACAAAATAAGAGGAGAAAAAAAAAGGTCCCTTACGTACGACTTAGAAAACTAACATTGAATTTGATGCGACAAAATTGAATAAAGAATGTGGTGGCCTGTGGCTTAAGCTAAACAAAATTGGAATTAGTCCTAGGTATAATTAATATAAGGTGCGTTTGATAGATGGATTTAAAATTATAATTCTAGATCATGATTCATCATGATTCAGAATTAATATTTAGTTTGGATGATTCTGAATCATGATTCATAATTTGATGTGATGTTTTAAACTAGCTTCAATCATGATTCTAAAACCACTCCCTCTTGATTCAAGGTGATTCAAACCCCTGATTCTAAATCATAGTTTTAGAATCATGATTTAAACCTAAAATCACGAATCATGGTCCTGGTTCTAAAATCATAATTAGAATCATCCTAGTTTGAATTCTCATATCAAATGAATCCATAATTGTCCTTATTTTATGTATTATTTCTGCTTTATATAAAATTACTCGCCCGTGTGGGTTAGACAATCAGTAATTGTATGGATAGATATTAATTAGAATACTCAACACATAAATATTAAACTATAAACACGAAAATAGAATGTGGATGGTGTGACTCAAGCTAACAAAATTGAAAGAGTCATTACAACAATTTGTCTTCTGAGTTCCCAGTATAAACTAGAAGCATATATATAATTGGCCTCAAATTTATGTTACTTGTTATTTGTTTTATATTATAAAACTAACACTCCCCTGTATGTGTGTAATGGGACATGGACAATTACATGAGTAAATATTAATTAAAATATTCAATATATAAATATTGAACCACATGAAACATATTAATTAATACCCCAACAATTTCATTGATACGATATTAGTTTACTAATTTTTCTAAAAACTTAAGTTGTTTGAAGCAAAATAATTTTATATTCTAACATTAATTAAAAAAAAAGAAAAAGAAAAATATGTTTACTTGATAAGGAATTAGTGACACATTTAAAATCTAACATCTAACTCATGTGACTATTAAGGTCTTGTTCGTTTCGCTTGTTTGAATTGAGAATTTGAGTTCAAGAGTAAATTTATACAAAAGAAAATAATGTAACAGAAAAAGTTGAGTTTGAATTTTTATGAGATTGAAAATAATGTCACAAAATATTTGAGTTGTAATTCGAATGGTGAAACAAACGAAGCTTAAATGTGTAAAAATAACGACGATGCAAATATAGACAATATTCTTGGGGCAGTTGATGTGTATAGAGATATATAGATCATAATATCAATCATTCAATAATTCAACTCTTAGACCGCATAATGCATTAACGAGCGACAATTGTACAGTTAATAATCCTATCTATCAAAATTCAGTTAAAAGAGACGCAAAAAGAGGGGGTTATTTAGAAGTAATTTTTAAATGTGGTGACATGATATTTTCATTTTATTTTAACAGAAATTCAGGAAAACCGCGTAACAATACTTAACTCGTTAGGGGAGCAAATTATGAGAGCTAGATACTTTATTGGAGATTAACGTAACAACACTGACGGAAATTCTAACAATTTGTCTCATAATTTGGGGGAGAAAAGTAGAAGTTTTTAAATTTCACGGGCAAAGTAGAAATGACTAATATTTGAAGGGTAGGTGTGGAAATAATCCTTTATCGGTTTGTGCTCAATTCTATGTAGTCTTAAAATTATATATATGTATATGTATAAATATACATATATATGCGTAGAGGAATAAGCATAGGTTTCAACGATGTGTAACTCCATGACGCAATGTTTTAGAACTTATATGGCAGCATGAAGCAGCACGGTAAGCTGACCAAGAAGATTTATTAGGATCGCATCAACATCATGTAGTAATATTATTACGTACCCTAAAGTACTAAAATCCAATATCTTAAATCTATAAATAGGCAGAAAAAAAACTAAACATTTCGACGACAGCGAAAACAAGCACAAAAACCAACTAGCTATTCATTTCTCATCCACACAACACACATTCTCACAACCTTCAACAGACTTTTCACCAATGGCTTCCCTCCGACCTTCTCGTAGCTCGCGTCATGCAACTCCATGCAAGCATCTTGAAACTCGAGTCGCTTCGACCTTCGAAGCAAGTCAACACCCTCTTCACCCAGCTCGTCAACTTGTGCACTCTTCCTTGTTCAATAGACGTCAAGGACTTGCCCCAAGAGCTCCAAGCCAAGCGTGAGTCTCATTATTCTATGCGGCCAAGCCGAGGGGCTTTTGGAGCTTGAATTCTAAACTCCAAAAGCTATCAACAATCTCAACCTCTTTCCTTACTATAACAACTACGTCAAGCTAGCAAATTTGGAGCACAACATTTTGGTCAAGAACGGAGTGTTGAAGCCCAAGAATGTGGCCTTTGTGGGCTCAGGCCCAATGCCACTAACTTCCCTTGTCTTGGCCATGAACCACATGAAATTCACTCACTTTGACAACTATGACTTTGACGAGAAGGCCAACTCTTTGGCTAGGAAGATTGTTGCCTCGGATGTTGAGCTAGAGAAGAGGATGAAATTTGTTACTAAAGATGTTATGGAAGTGAAAGAGAAGCTTGGGGAATATGATTGCATATTTTTGGCTGCTCTTGTGGGGATGAACAAGGAAAAGAAAGTGAAGGTTCTTGGGAATGTGAGGAAGTACATGAAGGAAGGAGGGATTTTGCTTGTTAGGAGTGTTAAAGGGCCTAGGGCTTTTCTGTACCCAGTTGTTGAAGAGCATGCGTTCGTCGGGTTTGAGGTTCTTGACATCTTCCATCCCTCGGATGAAGTGGTCAACTCCATTATTTTGGTGCGAAAGCCTATCTTTTAAGTAATTTTTCGGGTACCGACCTAGTTGGCATGCGAATTTCAACCTCGATGCTATTTGTCCTTGCTCACCACTTTGTATTACTTTTTTATTAGCTTCATCCCTCTGCATAAGTGGGATTAATGTGAGCCTACGAGGGTTTTATATTTGTGTAAGGAACTTGATAAAACTTACTCTAGTTGTGTCTGTCATGATTGGAAAATTTGTCGAAAAAATTATTGTATAAGATAAAATTTCTTAGAGTTCTCTGCATTATAAATATGAATACTTTTATGATAAGTATTTGTTGATATTGATATTGAATAGCAAAGTATAAGTTAAAAGTCGGAAATTTATGAACTATGATATAATTACCGAATTTCAGATTGTAATCAAGAAAGAGGCAGGGAACGCTGTGTTATTCTCACAAGGGGACAAACACATGAAAAGGAATTGAAAAACATCAATTCTAAGTTTTTAGAAACAATCAGAACGAAGAACGAACAAAAAAAGGGTTCGGAAAGCCGAACCGAGAAAATTAGAATTTTTGACCGATTAGGGTTGACCGAGTTGAAATTTGTTGGCGAAGAGTCGACTAATACGTCACTCTTGAAAATTCAGTCAAGGTTGAGTAAATTTGACCAAGTTGACCAACCGTCTGAAAAACGCGGGTAAAACGCGCACCGGATAGAAATTAAACTAAACCGAAATAAGATAGTTATTAAAAATGAATGGTTGAGATTTAAGGTTATTAAATGGATGGAGGGATGAGATTAGGACACCAAGAAAGAGAGGATATGCCCAGCCAAGACTTAGGGGAGAAGCCAAATAGATATTTTGAGCTTTTTTTTTTATAAAAAAGACCCTAGAAAGTGTCCAAATTGCACCTAGGTCTCTCCTCTCTTTTTGTGAACAGTTTTAGAAGGGAAAAATACAAGAAAAATGTCAATTTTCATGCAAGAAAATAGAGAGAACTCAGTCAAAGAAAGAGAGGAAAAAAAATTTCCTAAAGTGAGAAAACCGAGTTCAAATCGAAATCAGCGGAAAACTATCGTTGATTAGCGTCACCGGAACTTGTTCTTCATTCTTCTAAGGTAAAATTTCAATTTTTCTCCTCATTTTTCACCATGGCTGCATGTCCATGAACAGAAGAAACTATGAAATTTTTTTTGCTAAGGATGATGATTGCTTATGGTTATTAATAGTATCAAAAACCTAATGTTTAGAGGATAAATTTTCGGTTATTGGGTTATGTTTTAAAAATTTTTATTTAGGGAGAAATCTTGTGAGAATATTGAAGAAATCATAGAGATTATGATGATAAAAAGGAATGAGAATGATTGTGGTATGTGGTTTAAAGGTTGAAATAACAAATAAAATGAGCTATGGTTAGCTCGGGAAACACGAAAATTAGGAGAAACTCTGTCAAAATTTAGTTTGAGAATTGAACTAAATCCGGTTGTAATGAAGAATAGGAGGAATGTGATGTGTAAAATAAGTTGATTAGGTGATTGAAGATGTGTAGGAACCTAAAATGATGAAAATTCTCAGTTTCAGACCAAAATATAAAACTAGGATAATGACCCGAAACTTGTACCCGAATTTGCTTAAGCTAGAGGACTAAGATAGAAGCTTAATTTTAAAAAGTCACTAACATCAACTTGAAGGAAATTTCATTCCAAACAACTTTTGTGAAATTGCTATTTCCTCAAAAACGACCCTATATGTCAGTTTCGAGCTGATTTCTGAAACAGGTTAAAAATGGTGATTTTAGGCCAAATATGCACGGCTTTGGTGCACATTGGTAATATAGAAGATGTTTTAGTCCAAATACCGAACGTAAAAATCATAGATCTTTTCAAGAATTTTAGACACGACACGCACATTCCGTGAAAATGACATTTATGAAACCACGAACTCGAGTCAAATTGTATTGCAATTTCTGATCTTAGATTGTGAATCTAACAATCGGGAATTTATATGATAGGATCAGTAGGCGATCAATGAAATAAGTTTGTGGAGACTCAAAAGTCGTAATTTTAGCAGAACTTCTGTAAGTACATCAGTCTTCCTTTGTCTATATCACGAACAAGCATATTTCTCTGTGTTGCACAAAATTGTGCATATTATAAATTCAATGTATGTTATTATGTGAAAGATGTTTCCTGAATCTTATTTGTTGCATTGAATGTGCTTATGGCCTTAGAGTAGCAGTAGAATTTTAATCTGTGAAAAATTGAAAGTCAAAGTCAACAAAAGTCAAACATTTGAATAAAGCCCAATTTCATAAGAAATTGATAGAAATGCTTAAAGATGCAAAAATATGACTAAAATTACTGTCATAATAAGAAAGAAAATGACAATAAAAAGATAAGATTAAAATTACTATCATGATAAAAAATGAGGACAGTAAAATGATGTATAAAGTAAAGATGACAAATGACAAAAGTTAATAAAACTGTTTGTACTAGTCTTCGCAAGGGAGGTTATTATGAATAAAACCATGGGTGAGTTGGTTTTGGGTAGCTCCCCCACTTCTCATTGGGTATGTGAGCAACGGTACAACATGTATGGGGCCCATAAGAAGTAAAAGTTAAAAATTAAGATTAAAATTACTTCATGATAAAAAAGATGATAGTAAGACGATGTATAAAGTAAAAATGATGAATGTCAGAAAGTTAATAAAATTGTTTATACCGGCCTTCACAAGGGAGGTTATTATGATTAAAACCATGGGTAAGTTGGTTTTTGGTAGCTCCTCCACTCCTCATTGGGTATGTGCGCAATAGTACAACAGGTACGTGTCCCATAAGAAGTAATTATGAGAAACGAATGACACAAGAACGAAAGTTGTAAAGAAGCATGAAATGAAAGAAAAGAAAGCATATATAGCATGATAAAATGAAAGAAAAGAAAGCATGACACGATAAAATGATAGAAAAGAAAGCATAACACGATAAAATGAAAGAAAAGAAAGCAAAACACAATAAATGAAAAGAAAGAAAGCATAAAACGATAAATGCTTTACATGTTTAGAAAATGTGTTAGGGTGTATGACATGAATGCATATATGGGTATGCATTATTGATTGCACTTGTTGTGGTCTGTTGTTCCTTGCTGAGCGAAAGCTCATCCCGTTTGTATGTGTTGTAGGAAGCTCAGGTAAGGTACCAGTTCTCTGAAACCTGTTTGATGGGCGCGCATAAAAGAATGAAGCAGTGGGATGTGGGCAGGTGGGTGATGGATGCACCATGTGTTTTGAAAACGCTACAATGTGTATAAAGTAAGAAGTATTTATGGATGTAAAAGTAAATAAATCATGTAATGAAAGTAAAGTATATGAGACAACAAGGCTATGCTTAGCAACCTCAAATCACAAAGGATGTTGATGTACCTAAAAGTATATCATGTTAATGGCATGTGAACGACAATGGTATGCAAATGGTAAGTCGAATGTATGACCGCGCCTAGAAATAGATTTTGAAGTTTTAAAAGAATTTTATCTACAAATTATTCAACGTGAAGAAGTTGAAAATATTTTCGAAAAAGTATTTTTAATATTCAAGTTTTACTATGGAATAATAATCGAAGTTTTATCCCGACAAACTATATTAGTACTTATTTCACTATTGAAGGAAAAAAAGTAGCCTAAATTTTAAGAGTCTATAATTTTAAAGTAGTAGAAATTAAGAATATAAGTTAAGTATGAACATAATAGTGATGACAAAAAGTAAGTATTGTCATAGTCTCCACTTCTTTCTCTATGTGTTTGAATTTGTAAGATGAATAACAAATATTGTACTATCTCATGAATTATATATATGTGTGTGCGTGCAAAATTAATCATGGCCGTATCGTTGAACTTCTTGTTTGATGGTTTAAAGTATGCACATTTATTGTAAGAGCAAGGTGGAAATGCGAAGTGGATAAGTAGCTTTTGGTTTTGAGGTTGTACTTTTGTTATCATTAAAGCTGTTAGTTTAGCTTTGAATTAGCAATGGGATAATCTATGTTTGAGCTAGATTGACTCATGTTAATAACCTCTACTGTAAGTTATTCCACAAAATTTTTTCATGACCACCAGATACACATAAATATTTTCCAATAAAAAGCCCATATGGAAGCAAGGCACGGATCAAATGTATCATCAATTCATGACTGTAAAGGGAAATCTTTTTGTTTCGTTACAAAATAGACACTTGATCAAAAGGAAAAAAAAAATGGCAAATAGAGAAGACAAAAAAAAAAAAAAAATCTTGCGAATTAACGAAATAAATGAAGAATCGTCGACATTGGCAATGGACGGTGTTTGTTCCTTCTAATATTTGAGATCATCGTTCAGGTAGCATTCCTTGGGGAGGCCTTGAGGGAACCGCTTTGTGTCTTTGCAATAATCACAAGGCAAAACGTTTTTTTGATTTGCCACGGTGAATCTGACCACATTTTTAATGATTTATGATTTGAACCCAAACGTTTTTTTAATTTTAGAACTAAAATTATGATTTATGATTTGAATTTGGGGTCCAAACCATAGTTCTGGAGCCGGAATCAGAACCAGAGGTTTGAACTATCCAAAATTAAGGGGGAGGTGGTTTTATTTTTTGGAGTGGTTTTGGTTTAAAACATCACATCAAGATTCAAATCTTGAACCACATAAGGATTCAAATCTTGAACCAGAACCATTCAAACCAAATACTGATTTTCAAAAACTATATTTTACTTTTTACAAACAAATAATGGTTTGAACCACAATTATAGTTATGGTTCTAAAATACTCATATGAAACGCAACCTATATACTTACAGAATGTGCTTGGGATTCCAGAGGATGGAGTAAGTATGGAAATCGGCAGCCGGGTCGAACCAAAGGCGGAATTGCTGCTCTCTGCTGCCCTTTCCTTGGCAGAAAACATTAGTATGAAGCGTGTACGGATGACCGGTTTCATTCCCCAAGAATTCAAAGTCTATCTCATCATGGTATTCCCCTTTGGATGATAACTGATTATAAAAAATATACAGGCTATTTTTGCATGGATATCTCTCTAACTTTGCGAGTTTGGCAATTTAGTTCCTTAACTTCTTTATTGACAATTCAATTCTTAAACTTTGAAATTTATTACAATATTGGTCAAATTGAAAACAAATTTAAAAATTTAGATGATATATCTTCCATGTGAGTATTTAATAAGGGTAATTAATATCTTTCTGCATCAAATTTATCCTCATATACTCATCACGAGTGAAATTTTCTTTTGAAATTAGGAATTAATCGTTTTGGGAGAAAAATTAGAGGTCCCCCGATTTCAAAAAAAAAAAATCATTTATGATGTGTGTAAAGGTTTCAATTCGATGCAAAACAATTAGAATTATCCTTAATAAACACCCACGTAGAAGATACTGTCTAAATTTTTAACTTTATTTTCAATTTAACTAAAAATGCAACAAATTTTCAAATTTAAGTGATGAATTGCTAAGAAAAAAAGTTAAGAGACCAATTTACTAAACTCGTGAAGTTGAGGTGGTATCCGTGAAAAAAAGACAAATGTACAAGAGTCAGAATTTGGATTGTAAAAGCTAATATTACATTAAAGACGACTAAAATTTAAGGCAAAGTCACAAACTATAATCAATAATATCGTTTTAAACTCACATAAAATGCCGTGACAGTGCCAGCGGAGTTTCCAGCGACGAGCTTGATTTGCATTTCTATCTTTGCATACAGGTATGTTTTCTTTGACTCAAATCCTGAGCCTGAAACTTTGTCAAGTGTGACCTTCAGAAGCTCTCCATTGTTGACTATCTTACATCGATTATCGCCCCATGCAAGGCGGATATCATCGTAGAGGTTGCCGGCAGAGACGACGATAAAAATGCTAAGCATAAGAGAGAAAAGCAGCGAAGCGGTCGAAACATTGAAGGAAGGAAAAGTAGAAAAGCTGAGAGGTTGGTTCTTCATGGTTGGGAAATAAAACATACACAGAAATAAACACTTAATTTGCTGTTTTTGTTTATACGTTTGAGTATCTTTTATGCATATTAATTAGCCTGTAAAGTATAATATTGGAACGTCCAGGACTTTAATGTTGGAACGTCTATGTCTAGAGTTTTGTTTTCGTTTTTGTTTTTGTTTTTGTTTTTTCTGGTGATTGAATGTCTATGTCTAGTTGGAGGGCATAAAATGGAACCAAAAATTGACTTTTATTTTGTTATATTTTTTTAAAATAGTTTTGCCACCCAAAAATGCACGACCTTGGGATTCATTCCCTTAATATCCAGCTATGTAATTCCTTTGGAATCAAATTTGTGATTTAAGATATACCAACATTAGGCAATAAAGGACATGGCAAAAAATTTCAAAATTAATAATATCCTATTTTGTCCGCAAGTTAAGTGTCAACTTGAGAGGAAAAAAAAAAAAAAAAACAAATGTTTGACTTGATTTCACAAGTTCATGAACTGGTAAACTCAAACTCAATACCAAATAATAAAACTCTCAACGTGATGGACACCCAACTCAAGAGTCGGAAGAGGAAACTTCCACCTTGCTAGGCACCCACCAACTTTTCTATAACAGCTCATTTGATTGTATGCAATTACAACTATATGGGTTACTTGGTCTTTGTTTCCTTTACCACTTAGCTATTTTGGTCTTTAAAATTTTCTTATAGTATTAAAAGCAGTCCTTTTAAAGTGAGTTTTGAACTCAATTCAACTTCTTGGGATTTTAGCACAAATGGTTGCAAAAGGTGCAAAGACGATGACAAACGTTAAAAATTAGACAGAAAAGCGCATTGAGTCTTAATTTTTTTAACCGAATTCAATAAGCCAACGCGGATACAACACATTTTGCATTTGGATGATAAGAACTTTAGGACGCTACTAGTCTTTTTCTATCTAAATTTCTTTTTTTTTTTTTTTTTTCTTTTTTTTCCTGTTGATCCACTGAATCACTCTTAATCCATCTGCAATTAGTTGCCGCATGACCAATTCATTTGCAAGAGTAACAAAATAATGGAAGTTGCTCATTCTATGAAGAGAAGAATGAGAAATCTTGACACGAGCTCGAATAGAATTGAATTAGGTAAATGAGATGCCGAATCAATATCACTTAATACTCAAGCAAAGTGTCTCTAATATCCCTCACTAGTGACTTTTACGCCAGTGTTTTTGCGTGCCGGTACTATTTCATACCAAGGCCACAAAATTCAACACGTACTTGAGTGCTTGTTGTTTTTTGCTTGTATGAATTAAAATCTTGTTACTTTGTTACCATGATGTAAGGGCGGTAGCCCCATTGACCTTTAATTTGAAATCTCATTACCTAAGGGCGAAATGAAAACGTAGAGGAGTATCTTGTAGCAGGAGATTCGATGGATGTGCAAGTAAGCCCACGAAACCGGAATGGCGATGTTGAGGTCGACAAACATAGTATCCTAGGTAGCCACGTACGAGAGCTTGCGGTGAAGTTAGCGGCGACCACAAAGGGAAGCACACTCTGTGGGAGTAAAACCTTTGTAGAGTTTGTTACAGGCTTACAACGTATTGGGCTTGGAATTGAATAGGTACCTTAATTGTAAAAAGGTTAAACGGAAATAGTAAAAAATAGGCCAATATGAAAAGTTTAAGAAAATATATAGGTCAACTTTTAGATATAGAAATTAATAGGTCATAACTTATCAAGTTATGGTTCATAACCAGACAAGTTATGGACAAAAATGGATAATAACTTGAAAAGTTATGGTTCGTAATCAGACAAGTTATGGACAAAAACAGTAATTTGACCTATTTATTAATTTATGTAAACTATTGGCCTATTAATTTTAATTCATCTCAAGTCTTGGCCTATTTCTCTCTTTCTCCCAAAAGTTAATTACATAATACATGAAAAAATTTGATATCTTATTGAACCTCAACAAAATTTTTAGAATATTACAAAAATAACAAAAATGACTGTAATTATCAAAATGAGTCACATTTTGTACTATATAATAATATAGTCATAACTGATATCAAATTTTGTTATTATTCGTGTCATATTCTAAAAGTTTTGCTACATTAAAACTTCACTTTATGTGTAAAGAGGCCCTAATTCTAAGATCAATCTTTAACGAGCTTACGTAAGTACTATGAAACTTCTCTCCGCACTCAGCTCAAATTCACCATTAGCAACACCATCAGCATTGGCACATTTGGCATTGCTTTCGTTTTTGCTATTAAATAGTAAAGAAAAGAAATAAAAGTTGTCACATTTTAGTTAATTGTTTGAACTATATTTTTCAAAAAGCTTAAAAGAAATAAAAATATTGAATTGTAAAACTATGATATTGCCTTTTTCCATTGAGATGTGAATATTTATATAAAAATTACAAGATGAGATTGGGTAGGTTTTCCAACCTAATTCAAATCAAAGAATCTTCCTAAACTAGATAATTGCACTTTTTACAATTTAAATAAAGATAAAATATAATCTAGGAAACTAATAATTTAGTAAATATAAAATTTAAATTTCCCTTATACGCCCCCGCACGATGGAGCGTAGGAAGCGAGTCCAATCTTCTCCTGAAGAAGAAGAAATCGCATGCTAGGGAGAGGCGATTTCTCAAAATACCTTGAAGCAATTAAAATTTTGAGAAAATAGTAAGTGTTGTTTTAGATATATATCAAGTGTTGTTTTAGATATAATTTAACTAAAAGGTTAAATAAAAAAAATTAAAATGTTTAAATAAATATTCCAACTAAACAAATATTTTGATTTCATAATGTTTTAAATTGTATTTAAGAAAGAGAGGGAAGAAAATCTCAGTATTTTTAAAAAAAATAATAATTGTTTTAGTTTAAGTATGATTTTATAAACAAAAAAGGTATTTTAGATATTTGCATAACATAGGCCTATTGAAATAGTATTTAGACAAAACACTCAAAACACTCTCATGCTTTGTGTTTCGTATTTTATTTTTATTTTTATTTTTATGGTACGGGTGTAGCTGTTGTCCAACTTCAAAATATTTTGTGATCAATGGTAGTACTAGACTCCCCTTTAAGACACCTTCTAACTTCTCCTTACTTTACTTTCTTTCTGCGTTGGCACCGTAATAGACGAACATAACAAGTTGGGCGAATACGAACGCACAGGGTAAAATTATTTTGGTTACTTTACTCTTGTAGATTTCCATACGAGAGACTTGCATGTTTTATTAATATATAATTTTTAGGAATTAGTGCAACAAGCGGTACTATTTTTTTGATGAATGTTCTATTTTTTATGATTTTTTTTATTTTTCGTCTTTAAAAAATATAATAAAATAAAAATTAGATAAAAAAATAATAAAATTTTGCAGACACAATCCTTACATTTTTCTAGGCACGCCAGAAAAACATGGCTACCAGAAATGGTAAACAAAATATTAAAACATTGTCAAAAAGCCCCTGCCCACGTAGTGGGGCATACAAGGGCCACCTTAGGGGCCGGGATGGGTCTAAAATTTACATTTTTATTTATATTTTGTATTCTAAAATTAATATATGATTTTTAGAAATTAATGCCACATGTAGCACCATTTTTTAATGAATATTCTATTTTTTATGATTTTCTTTATTTTTCGTCTTTAAAAAATGTAATAAAATAAAATTGACGTAAAAAAATAATGAAATTTTACAGACACGATCCTTACATTTTTCTAGGCATGTAAGAAAACAATGGCCTCAAAAAATGGCAAAAATAAGTAAAATACTGTCAAGTTGGCCGGCGTACCCAAAAAATAACCTTTTTCTTTGACGAAACTCTTTCAAGAGTAAAGGGCAGCAAGCAAGCAAAAAAAAAAAAAAAAAAAAAAAAAAAAAAAAAAAAAAAAAAAATCTTGTAAATTGCGACTGAAAATGTCTTACCACCACAAGATTTTTATTTTTAAGGAAAAACAGAAAACACAGTAGAGAGTTAAACTGACTGACTCAGTAGCCAAATTATAAATTAAAAAAAAAAAAATCTCAGTAGCCAAATTTGGTAATTGGTAAGAGAGAGAAGTAAGAGAGAAAGGTGTGGCTTTGGTTTTCTGGGTTTCAATTGGTGGTAGCAGAGAGAGAGAGAGAGAGTCATGGCAACTGCGATACGCGGTCGAGTCCCTCTTTCTCCCAATCACGCTTTCAATCCTCCCAAATCAGGTATGTTTTCCTTTTTCTTAGGATTCTGTCAACAGATTTAAGTACTGAAGGTCTATAAATTATTGTATCTTGTGATTGTTTAATTACTTATCATTCGGTATTGTGATTATTGGGTAATTCTGTTTGTAATTTGGGTTCTAAATGAACTCGCTGTGCTTTGTTGATATAATTGTAGAACAAGGATTCTTATTTCTCAGAGAATTTTCTGCAACTATAAATTAAAAAAAAAAAAAAAAAAAAAACAGTGAAAAATAGTATTAGACGAAATATTGAAAGAGTTCAAGTTTTCTCTTTGATAGCAGTATGTAAAATCTCTAAATTAAAATGGGGGTCATTATAGCAAACAAATGGGCATCATTTAAATTTGCTAATTAATTTTTTGATTATTTTGGAATTCAGCATGTTTTAGATCCTTTAGGTGGTGAAGACTTACAAAATTCTATCATATCATGCAATTTGTGAGAAGGAATCGATTATTTATTTTTTTTGTTTATCAAATAATCATGTATACGCCCTTTGTGGTCGATCTGTCCATAGGTTTTGTAAGTTTAATTAAAAAAATAATAATAACCATATAGATAGAAATAAAAATAATGTTTCTTTGCTTATCAGATTTTAATTTAGTTTTTTCCTCCTTTTGTTGTAGATTACACAGTAAAAAAAAGTTTAAAACATTTCTGGTAAACCATCAGGCGTTTGGTTTTGTTGCATTATGTCTTTTAGATTATTTTCCTGAAAAAGCAAATCAGTGTATCAAATGCATTTGATAGAAATTCGAGGGAGAATTTTGTTTTCGTTGCTAATGGAGGCTCATGAACATTAACAAACTAGGCTCTTAAACTTCTCTCTTTGTTTGGTTATTACCAGAAATACCCTTCAAAATCATTTCTATGTTTGTGTAGTATCTTGGATCCACAGCATTTAGATCATTGCGACTAACATGTACTATAAGTCAATAACATGAGAACTGGAATTTTTCCTCCAAGTAGAATATGTTGAAGATGAATCCTTACTGTTTGTGTTCCTGACATCCCTTGCATGTTCATTACACCGAGCTTTCTTTCCTACACTTAGCAAGCATGTCATAAGAGTTCGAATGAGTGACAACACAAAGATGTACTAGAGTAACATTACATGCAAAATCATGCCTTTGCTCAAAGTTTGTTGCTTCAAAGTCATTTAAAAGTGTTGAATTTGTGGAGCGTAGTTATTTCCTTCACATATAGTCAGCACGCATATCGGCCTTAGGTATAGGTCGTGGGATTTTTTGGAAATTTTTTTTGGGCATCATAGTGAAATTTTTGCAGCAGCTAAAAGTGGATGTAGCTATCTTGTTGTTAAGGAGCAACTTCCCTGTAGGCTCGATTTGTTGGGGGGAGTGTGGGTGTGGGGTCTCCCCGACTAGATGACCTGGGCCTAAAGAAGGGCATCCCAAAAACATCTGGGTCAAAATTTGTGTGTGCTTGTTTGTTTGTTTGTTTTTGTTTTTGTTTTTTTTTTTGTTTTTGTGTTTTTATATTTTATTTTATGGAGAGGAATTCCAGAATTTTTTAGGAGAAGGAAATGGGGTTGATGGACATTTTTGAAAGGCTAAATTCTTATCCTCCTTACAGGCTTTGACGTGGGGTGGTGGGGGGAACCCCCTCCCGACTAGATGACCTGCGCCTAAAGAAGGGCATTCCAAAAACATCTGGGTCAAAATTTGTGTGTGCTTGTTTGTTTGTTTGTTTGTTTTTGTTTTTGTTTTTGTTTTTTTTTATTTTATTTTATGGAGAGGAATTCCAGAATTTTTTAGAAGGAAATGGGGTTGATGGGCATTTTTGAAAAGGCTAAATTCTTATCCTCCTTATGGGCTTCGACGTATTAGGCATTTAGAGATATTTTCTTCTATTTGACCATTTTAAATTGAAAGGATGTGATGGGAAAATAGCTAGTCTGTGTTGTTTAGACTGATTACATTCCTTTGTTTTTGAGGTTCTTTTGAGACTTTTGTCTCAGTTTTGTGTTTTGTGCTTGAGTCTTTCTTGAGGATGTGTCATGCTCTTTTCCTTGTAATTGATTAAATTATCAATGAAAGGGTGTATTAAAAAAAATAATTGTTGCTCTCAGTAGTAAAGGATTAGGGCATCTAATTCTGAACAGAAATTATTGGAGTTTAATTTAATGTATACATTCCCAATTTTTTTTATGAATGAATTGATCATTTTACGCCTTTCAAATACTTAAGTGGTCTATTTTGATTCCCTGTTTTACTGTAATTTGTCACAGGGGACAGATCCTATTTTCATAAACAATGCTCAATCCGGAACTTCTTAATGACATTATCAACCACGGCCCTCGGGAAAGGTGGCGGGTTGTTGGAGAAGCCAACCATAGAGAAAACAAAACCAGGCCGCAAGTCTGAGTTTGACAAAAGGTAGTAACTCAATAGTTTCTGGAAAAGTTTTGGGATAATCACCCCTTTGAAATTTCTGGTTTACTAATTTACTTTGGCTCCTTAGAACTATGGGAAGCCTGGATATTGTGAGCCATAACCTTGTTCTACACTAAATTTGAATTGTATTAGACCACGGTCTTTTCCAATGTCATTGTGTCTTGTCTTGTTCACGTTGGAGTTCTTGGGTTATCAGGACTCCACAATGTTAAAGTGACAATAACATTAAATATCAAACTAAGAAATCAGTTTATAATTGGAACAGGCACATTCATTGAGTCCTTTTTTGACCAATACCTTCTTCACTCTTCTGACTCCGCAATTTTGATTGGAATTTGGAAACTGGAAAGGATTGTCCATCCCTGCCGACATGATAATTAAATAACGAGTATGGATGTAATAAAGTATGCAATTGCATGTGGGAAAATAGGAAGATTAGAAGACTAGAAAATATGTCCACTGAAAGGGGATTTTCTTTTACTATTATTTTTTTTTTTTCTGTTATTTGCTGGAGAAAATTGAACTCTATGATTTCTTGGATTTCAGGAGATCAAGGAAAATGTCACCACCTTACTGCGTGCTGCTGCACAATGACAACTTCAATAAACGGGAGTATGTTGTGCAAGTTCTGATGAAAGTAATCCCTGAAATGACCCTTGACAACGCAGTTAACATCATGCAAGAGGCACATTACAATGGCATGTCAGTCGTGATTATCTGTGCGCAAGTCGACGCAGAAGAGCATTGTATGCAGTTGAGGGGTAATGGCCTCCTTAGCTCGATAGAGCCTGCAAGCGACGGTTGTTGACATTTATGTAGAATGAGTGAATCATAGGTAACAGCAGCAGCTGTTGTTCCAAGTATAGATTTATGCTTATATGTACATAACTCATAGAATTATCAATGTGAAAATGTACTTTATTACAATGTCTGCTCACTAAGATGTGCGAAGTAGCATAGTTGTGGCCCATTGTGTTTCTCCCCCTATATCTTTTTGTTTTGTTTTTGTTTTTGTTTTTGTTGTGTTTTGTCTTTCTTTTTGTTTTTTTTTTTTGTTTTTGTTTTTGTTTTTTTTTTGTTTTTGTTTTTGTTTTTTTGTTTTTTTTTTGTAAATCTTCTCTTTCTGCATTAGCTGCAGGAAAAGCAAGATATACCTTTATAAGCCTTTTTTTTCCCCCTGAAACAGATACAAATTTCATTAACGGAAAAAGTATATATTATTGGTCTTAGTTGTTTTGGTTAATACGCTTTGGTTTTAAATTGAAAAATAAGGTTTTAAAGGACTTTGGTTTGTTAATTAAGGAGGATTCATAAATGGGAACTTTCCATGATCATCCACGGATTACTTGAGTTCCAATTTGTCCCGATAAAAATGTTGCATTGGTCAAGTCTTCTTACTAACGAACCTCTACCTAAAGCTACCTTGTTTTTATTAGCATTTATTAGTTTACGTTGAAGACAGAACAAAAGGTAGAAAGCAAAATAATTGAAATTTTACTAGGACCTCTTTGTTTTTACGGTACAATAAAATTCTCCTGAAACGTAGCATGCAAATAATCAAGTGCTCATTGGAGATGTAAACACCAAATGAGCTTTACCTACTTTGGGTACCTTCAGAAACTGGGTTCAAATTAAGTATTTTTGAATCAGAATTTAAATTTTCTAAGAGAAAATACTGTAACACAACTTTTTTCAATTTAAATTTTTTAAGAGAGAAAAAACTACTTAAACCAAAATTAAGGCAGTTTGAATCCGCGTAACAAACAAGACCTTTATGTGTAGAATTTTCGGGCAATAGAAACACGAGCAAATAAATAATCAATTCTTATTCTTGTTTTCATTAGGTTTTCTCCGTTGAACTTCTTGGAGCGCCAAGACTTAAAGGTCCCAAATTATTGACACAAAACTTTTCTCCATGCAATACAATGCATGGAGATAAATGTCATAACTCACAGCACAATCAAATTATCAGCCAGCTCACAGACATTTGATAGCATATGTCTATGGCATGCCTTTAAAATTACCAAATCCCAGATATTCGCAACGACAAGATTTGCTTTTCCCAAGCTAGTCAAAACCTTCCATAACAACTCCTCATTATCTTCTTGACTCAACTCACCAACAAGTTTATGAGCACTCGCAGCAGAAGGCGCATAACCCTTGAAGACCATCTCATCTAAAATTAGTGCTGCTTCTTTAAACCTCCGACAACCACAAAACCCGTCGAAAATCGTTCGATAGGACAGCACATCAGGCTTGCAACCGCGTCTCGGTAAATCTTCAAACAAATCATTTGCCTCAACCCATTTTCCCTCCTTACATAATCCACCAATAATGATATTGTAAGTGATAATATCCGGTTTACACCCTTCCTCCACCATCTGGTTCAACATTTCGTTGGCTGCTTCAAAGTCTTTTTCCACACAAAACCCATGAATCACCGCATTGTAAGTTACGGTATCGGGTTTACAGCCAGAAACTTTCATCTCCTCCAGAATCCGAAAAGCCTCCTCTTTCCTACCAGCCTTGAAATTTGCGCTGATCAAAGTGCTGTAAACTCTGGCATCTAATTCTATTCTGTTTCTTTCCATCTCCTCCCTCAGCCGAAATGCCAAACTCAACTCGCCGGCCCTAGAAAGTTCTTTCATCAAAGAAGCATACAACGACGCATTAGGCTTAATCCCATAAACTCTAATCATATCCTCTTTCAACTTCAAAGCCTCGTCTAACTTGAAATTCGCGCAAAACCCGTGAACCAAAGTTCCGAAAGTCACGGCATTTGGACGAACACCGTTCCACCGCATTTCATCAAACACCTTCCAAGCATCATCCAAACAACCACGTTTACACCAAGCATTGATCAAAATATTATAAGTACACACATCAGGGGTAACTTTTTTGCGGAAATTTGCGTAAAACTGCATCATCTTCTCAAACTCACCGCACTTCGAAAGCGAGTCCATCACCGAATTGTAGGATTTCACGGTACGCAAAACACGAAAAAACGGCATTTCGTCGAACAATTTGAGAGCACGGTCGGGAAGACAAGCCCTGCCATAGAAAGAAATCACGTTGCAGAAGATGATCTCGTTGGGAACAAAGCGGGATTCTTTATTCAATTGACGGAGGATTTGCTCCATTTGATCGAACATTTTGGCGCGTCCGAGCTTGGTGATGATAATGTCGTAGGAGAGAAGGGAATAGCGAAATCGTTTTTGGGGTTCGGAAGATTGGATTTGGGGGTTAGGGTTTTGGAAGAGTTGGAGAGCGAGGTTTGGGTCCTTCAGGCGACGGAGGAGATTGGAAAGCCTGTAAGGCGAGATGGGTTTTAAAACAAGCATTTTCTTTCTCTGCGTTGTGTGATTTTCCTTTTCAGTTTCTCAGTCGCCAAACGGAAATCTTTTAGTCAGTCGGTTGGTTGGTATGTTTTCTACATTCCCGCCAAAATTGAATGTCGACCAATTGATCTTTAGGCCACGCTGAAAGCACAACAAGGCTGAAAGCTCAGTTAATTGATCTTTGGGAAATAGTAGAAAATAGACCAATATAAAAAGCTTAAGAAAGTATATAAGCTAATTTTTAATTATAAAAATTAATATACCATAACTTGTCAAGTTATGATTTATAACCAGATAAGTTATGAACAAACTTGTCAAGTTATGGTTCATAGTTAGACAAGTTATGGACAATTATGGACAATAACTTGTCAAGTTATGGTTCATAACCAGACAAGTTATTGACGAAAACAGTAATTTAGCCTATTTATTAACTTATGTAAACTATTGGTCTATTAATTTTAATTCATCTCAAATCTTGGCCTATTTTCTTCTTTCTCTCTTAATCTTTAGGCCAGGCTAACAACAACAACAACAACAACACAATTGATCTTTAGGCCAGGCTAACAACAACAACAACAATAATTGGTTGGAAATTTTGATTTTCATAAATTACTTTATAAATTTTTGTTTTTGTAATTTTAGTTCCTGATATTAAAATTAAACAAAGGATTTATGAAATTTAACATGATAATCACATCCCAGTCACCTAACAAGTGAAAATTTTATAAGAGAATTACTTAACTCATCTTTAATGCACGAATTTTAATTCTTATCCTTTGATTAATATCCTTTAAACTAATATAGTTGTTTGAGTTAAAAAGTATTAATCAAAGATAAAGAATAAAAATTTAGACTATGCACTCTAAAAAAATATATGTTTCCTTTTTAAAGTTGGCAATCATATAATTAATTCTGTAAAATTTAAAGTTGTTGCAACAAATCTTGTAACACTAATAATCATTAAAGTTCCCTGAGAAAGAAATGGCTAACCAAATTAATAAAACTGCGAAAACAATAAATAAATAAGAACATTAAAATTTTTACGTGGTTCGGCAAATAGATAAGCACAGGTAAATTTTTACACAATAGTTTATGCGCGTTTAGAATTCGTTTTAAAATAATTTTATTTTTTGTATAAAAATAAAAATGAAAACTTTTTCAATCTCAACAAAAATCATTTTTAAAAATGCGTTTGATAGTTTTATCAAGAGATTATTTTTAGTATAAAAAAACTCATTAATGTCTCTCTCTCTACTCGAAAGAGGAAAAAACAAAAACAAAAAATGAAAAACGACTAAAAAACTTTTTTCATTTCTCTCTCATTTTATATTAAACTAAAAAATTATTTTTATTTTTTTTTATCTTTATTACGTTAAACGTCGTTTTAAAACGTTTTATTTTTTCTTTAAAAAATGTAAAAAATAAAAACATGAACAATTCTAAACGTGAACTTTATTTTTCTAAAAATGGAAAAAGTACAACGCGACCTTGAGCTTGGATCGGTCTCGAAACCGACAGCTTGAGATAGCTCAGGACCGTTTCTTAGCTTTGGAGGAGTAGTGCGACGCGCGCAAATTGGGCTTGGCAAGGATTTTGAGTGATTCATAACCTTACTCAACCACATCCACATGTAACTCAAGTTAACTCCTAGTTGGATTATGATTGCTCCCTCTAGTTAGATGTAGAACGGAAGTGTCTATAAATAGGATATTACAAGGCTAGGAGAAGAATCAAGATTTTTGAGGGTGTCCACACACCTATCAAATATAGGCAAAGAAAAATCACAGGAAAGATGGTTGGAATGTTATTAGAAGAAGAATTATTGCATGTAATATCATTAGCATCGACAACAATTATAAAAAATTTAAAACCAAATTCCATTGTCTTTCTATGATTTTTATACAAATATTTTTCCACCACGTTATTCTAAAATGTGATTATTTTGTTTAAGAACAAAGAACTGGCAACTTATCGTGTATGTATTAGGGATTGGTATTGATTATTTCTTATTATGTTTCCTTAAAAAAATAAAAAAAAAATAAAAAAGAAAGGAGAAAAAGAAGATTCTGATCAAGATGATACTTTTTCACAACTTCTAGTTATGAATGAGAGCCAATGAGACAGGAATATGTCTAATCCTTGCTTTATTAAGTGCAACAAACTAATCACGATCCCACCAAACAGATAAAGGCCGCATTAATAAACACATGCACTTCAAAGAGACAGAACCGTATAGGCGATGAGAGTGTTGGCGCCCTAGTTGATTATTAATGATATTAATGATATGAGAAAATACAAGCGGAACTGAGAAGAAAATCAAATGATATTAATTAGCTTGTTAAAAGTTCAAATTAATTAGCAACATTTTTTTTCCTTGAGAAATAATTAGCAGCAGTTTTTGTTTAACAAAAGTTATATGTAGACCTGAGAATAAAGCATGAAGGACCTCAGATTAGCAACTCTGTGTTTAAGACTTAAACACAGAGTTGCTAATCTCAGGTCCCTCATAAATGGACTCAAAAAGCGAGAGAGAGTTAGGAGCCGTTCATCTCACTGATTCGAGTTTTGTTATCAGAAACAGTCACATCTAACTTTTTTATTATAGTAAAAAACTCTCACATAAAGTCACATCTCAACTCGAATTAAAAACTCGAATCAGCGAACTAAACGGTATGTGTAGAAATTAGTGTAAAATCCCGAGAAAAGGATTCTCCACTTACGCAACGGAAGTGAATAAAAAAATAGAAAAAAGAAATAAATTTTTATTATCTTTTGATTCACGTATAATATTGAAAAACCCTTTGATTCAATCGGAATACTAAAAAATAAGACTTTTATAAACCTATTGATTCGCTCGCGAATATCAAGAAAATATGCATCAATCATTCGTTGATTCAATAGCATACCGAGAAAATTAAAGTAGATATGTTGAGAGAATCTCAAAGCACATAATTTTATTAATCTCTCAAAGAACTAAAATAACAAACTAAGCTCTCCTATTTATAGAACACTACAATTCAAAATAGAAAAGAAAACTAATTTGAAAAGAAAATTAATTTGAAAAAAAAAGGAAACTGAAACTAATCCTATATACTCCTAATTTAAAATTCATAATAATTCAAAAATAAAACTAGAAGATAGACCTGAATACATCGGGAAACAACTAAAATAAATTTAAATTTAAATTTAAATTAAATCGGCAACTTCTATCTTCAACCCCTCGTCCCATCTCTTCACACTGCATCACCCAACTCTATTTTATAGAACTTAAAGATAGACCGATAAATTAAATAGTTGGTTATTTCTGCACTTAAATTTAAAACGGTTAAAAATTGTGTCCCTCATTCTTTGACATTACTCCCATCTCTCGGGATCAATCCCGGTAACAGCTACTTGAGTATAAGACGGCGCTGAGTGGTCTGTAAATCGAAAAAGATGAGATTCTTACGTAACTAAGGATTAGGGATAGAAACTCCTACTTTCCGTTTGATCGCTAAAGTAACTAAAGGACAAGGAGTTGTGACCCTCTATTGACCTTTAGTTATTTAACAGCTATACTTGACCGACGTTGTCTTCATACAGTAAGATTTAGATTTGATTGGATTATTAATTTATGTTGAAACAAGAAAAACACTTTTTTTTTGGTATTAAAAAAACTATGTCCTAATACCATTAATTTAATATTATTTTTGCTATAAGAATATATATACAATATATAATCATCATATACATATACATATATATATATATATATATACATTTACTTATTTATTATCAATTCAGCATGCGAACTTGAGAATGCAGTCATGCACTAAGCAACAACTAGACTGCTCAAAATAATGTCAGGAATTTATAAAATAAGTTGAAACTATAGCAAATAAATAAATAAATAAAATAAGTTGACGTGACTGTAGTGTATACTTGTGGAGTTCAATCACTAAAAAGTACCAAGCATTTTTCAAAGCGATTGAAGAGACGATTGGAGTAAGAATCAACAAACCGCACGTGAGCAGGCTATTTTATTGCACTAATAGAAACATTTTATTCTTAACTATTTAAATAATTTTTTAATGGTTAAATTTATCCATATGGGCAATAAAAATTTACAAAATGTGACTCATAATTACTCTCATGATAAATTAAATGATAAATCAAACTGTTAAAAAATTAATTTAACGGCTCAAACACAATTCTAAACAGTTGAAAAAATAATCTTCTCTAATTATTTCCATAAGAAAATTTTCTAACCCAATTACTACTTCAACTAATTATATAATTGATGTGTTTGCCTAATATGGGTGCATGTTTTTATGTTTTGTCTACCAAGTATTGGTGACTATATATTTTGAGGTAATTATATACGCCGTTCAGTTGATCAAAGTGGATTCTCAAAACAACAATAATAATAAAACCTTGAACAAAGTGGCTTGTTCAAATAATGAATTATATATGTATATTAGAGATGCCAGCTGTGCTGACCAATTAAATTAAAAACCTTTTTTCCATCAAAAAATTAAATCAATCACTTTATTGAAAATATATCAGTCCCACGATAGATAACAGTAAAATTGTTAATAAAATGTGATACTACAAGTACTTTGTGTAATTACTTCAATCATTGGCGCAGTAACACAACTTGAGGTTAAGGGAAAGGTAAATTGCAAGTGGAGTAGGCCAATTATCGTTAGTAGGCGAAGTGAAACGAATAATTTACTTTATTCGATGAGGTTAAAGCAATTGAAAAATAATATTAAAATGAAATTATTAACAAAATGACTTGTGCATTTTTTAGGTGGATGGTTCCTTTATATATATATATATATATATATATATATATAATTATTTGACCTCGTAGGATCTGGTGTGTGTTGTTCTAAACTGTAAAGAACTTTGGCTTTTAGAATTTATCTGAAATTTTTAATATGAAAACTAATTCATTTAACGGAAATTATTATGTTGTCTAATAGTATTGTGTGCATTGACTAATGATTAATGGTGATGTATTGTTGTTTTGGGACCCCATCCCATAATTTTTAAGACCTAACAACATTAAAGCTTACCTACTTTTCATCGCAGAAAATTAGTGTGGTTACTCTATATGTACTTGATAACAAAAAAATGTTATAAGAAAATTGTCACACATAACTTTATTATCTCACACACAACTATATTTATGTGTGTGTGTATATATTCTGTATGCATATATAGGGATACATACAATATACATCCATAAAGACAAATTATGTGTTGTTTAAGATCATAGCTAGGAAATTATACAAATTAGTTTTGCTAATTCTACTATATCACGAGAATCACAAGATGTTTTAATTAACAATTACTAGATGCAAAAAGAAAAGGAGATTTTTTTTTTTTGAAAACCAAATAAAGAATTAATTATCTACTTCGGACGAGATATTTAAGCTTTTATGAAAAAAGAATCTAACTATGCATTCTAAAAAAGAAAGGAAGAAAAGGAGATGGCCAGTCTCATCATGCACGTATGTGTAGATCGATACATGGATTTGCTAGAAAGGGTTAGTCTCATCCTTGTAGTTCAAGATGTTAACTATAATCATACAAACATGCATGAAATGCGTCAATCCTTGTCCCAGTCTTGACTTCAATTATTAGCACACTTTAACTTTTTGCTTTTTTTTTTTCCTTCATTGTTTTTTTCTCTGAAAATAATTTCTTCAATCTAAAATAAAGTTAGCATAATATTACTTCCACACTTTTCTAAAACATAGTAAATCACTAAAGAACAAAAGAGAAACAAAAATATCTATTTTTCAAAAAAAGAAATCAGCAGAAAAGAACGAAATTTTATTGGTGGCCGTGGCCGTGGCCCTGTCTATAATCAAAGCCCCCGGTCCAACCCGAATGACATAGATTTTTTTTTTTTATAAATTTAATAAGAAAAGTCACAATTTTTTTTTAAAAAATTAGAGTAAAAATAAATTATTAATAATCTTTTATTTTTCAGTTATTATATTTATATTAAAGTTTATATATTTTATATATTTTTTAATTTAATGTGATTTTTATTAAACTTAACGATAAAAAAAATTAAGTTACTAGTAAAACGTATCAACGAAAAAATTTCAAGTTGTTCTTTTGAAATGTAATTTGAGTGTAGTTTTTGAGTTATAACTTGAGTTGAAGTTAAAATTTAAATAAAGTTGAATAAAATTAAATAAAATTAAAACTTAAAAAAATGTGAACTTAAATAAAATTAAAATTTAAGTTGTCTTTTTTTGAGTTTTATAGAAAAAGAACATTCCCTTCATTTTTTCTTTTCATCTAATCAACAAATTTTATTAATATAAAATTTGTTTAAATATATATCAAAATCAATACAAAAATATAAATAATTTTAGTTTTTATTATATTTTATATTCCAACGTATATTTAAACCAAAAATCAATAAAATTACCAAAACACCCCTAGCACCCAAAACGTGAAGACCTCTCTCCCTGTCCTAAATAAAAAGCCAAACCCCTCACACTCCCACTTTACCACTCCATTTCTCTCCTCTTCTCCTCCCCAAAATCTCTGCTTACAAACAAAAATGGCGCTAAACCCACTCCTCTTCTCCGCCGCAATCACCATTCTCATCTTCTCCTCTTTCTCTCCCACACTCTGCCGCGACATACCAACCAACCACCACAGCACGCAGCTCCTCGACGTCTCCGCTTCTCTCAAACTCGCCCAAGACGTCCTCTCGTTCAACCCCCAATCCCTCAAACCCGCCATTATTCTCGACCAGGATGAATCCTTAATCCCCGCCATAGCCAACCACTCTCAGCCCTTCTCTCTCCCTCTCCACTCCCGCGACTCGCTCCTCAACTCCAACCACAAGGACTACCGCAGCCTTGTCCTCTCCCGACTCGACCGCGACTCCGCCCGAGTCGACTCTCTCAATCTCAAGCACCAGCTCGCTTTGAACGGTCTCAAGCGGTCGGACCTCCGGCCTACTGAGGATCAGCTTCTCCGACCGGAGGATCTCTCCACCCCAATCGTCTCCGGCACCAGCCAGGGCAGCGGGGAGTTCTTCGCCCGCATCGGAGTCGGACAGCCAGCGAAGCAATTCTACATGGTGATCGACACCGGCAGCGATGTCAACTGGCTCCAGTGCCAGCCCTGCTCCGACTGCTACTCCCAGACCGATCCGATCTTCGACCCGAGTTCATCATCTTCGTACTCCCCTCTCTCCTGCGAATCCTCCCAATGTGGCGCTCTCGAGACTTCCGGCTGCCGGTCGGGGAGATGCCTCTACCAGGTCGCCTACGGTGACGGATCCTACACCGTCGGCGATTTTGTCACCGAAACGGTGTCGTTCGGAGGCTCCGGCGGATCCGTCAGAAACCTTGCCTTGGGATGCGGGCACGACAACGAGGGTTTGTTCACGGGCTCTGCCGGTCTGGTCGGACTCGGCGGTGGTCCTCTGTCGTTGACTTCGCAGATCAAAGCGACATCGTTCTCCTACTGCTTGGTCGACCGCGACTCGTCCGCGTCGTCTGCTCTCGAGTTCAACTCGGCCTCCCCTAGCGACTCGGTTTTCGCGCAGATTCTCAAGAACGGCAAGACGAAGACGTTCTACTTCGTCGAGCTCACCGGAATGAGCGTCGGAGGAGTTACGATCTCGTTCTCGCCGTCGCAGGGGTCTGGCGAAGGGGGGTACATCGTCGACTCAGGGACGGCGGTGACTCGGTTGCGGACTCAGATCTACGAGCCGCTACGCGACGAGTTCAAGAGGGGGACTCAGGATTTACCCGCTGCAAACGGCGTTGCTTTGTTCGACACGTGCTACGACCTGTCGTCGAGGACGAGCGTACGAGTCCCGACGGTGTCGTTTTTGTTCGCCGGAGGGAAGGCGTGGCATTTGCCGGCGAAGAATTACCTCATCCCCGTCGACAACTCCGGCACTTTCTGCTTCGCATTTGCCCCAACGACGTCGTCTTTGTCCATCGTCGGCAATGTCCAACAGCAAGGGACACGTGTCAGTTATGACTTGGCGAACTCACGTGTCGGGTTCTCGCCCAACAAATGTTAGAAGAGAGAAATTGCTAAATGTGTTTATTTACGTATCTATCCCTGATAAAAATAGTAATTTCACTAAATAGGATTGGACAAGACAGTACTTTAAATGTAAAAGGTTTCTTGGACCGACTATTTACTGCTAGGTGGGTGTTTGGATAAAAGTTGGGCCCGGCTATTATAAATTATTAATTTTTAAAAAATTGCTACTAAAGTGTAAAGGTTTTTTCGGCAGGTCATAATTAATATTTAATACTCATAAATGTGTACTGTTGTGTATTTGTAAGTCAGTGGCATGTATAGTAATTTAGTTTCAACTCGAGGGTTGTAAGATTAGAGAGATGAAAGAAGAAGGAAAATCTAATTACGTAAAGGCTTGCATGTACGCCATGTGGGATAAAACGGTGGCGGTGATTTCGAATTTTGCGACTGTAAACATGGAGGTAGAATGGAAATCTTTGCTTATTATTTTATCTCCAATGTTATTTTCTTTTCTAATTCTAATTTTTTTTATAAATTTGTTTCCTTGTCCAATTCTTTTGAACATAGCATATAACATGTCTATTATTCAAGAAAATAAAGAATATATATATGTAATTCAAATTATTCGCGGGTCTTATTAGTAATTTTTAAAATTTTGATTTGGGAAATTTGGGTGGTGGTGGGGAACAGATCACGTGGACTAATCAGTGGGTTGGCGATTGGGAAGAAGACAATAATAGTAGAGGTCGGGTCTGTGTTTGTGTAGATTTCATGGTATTGGTGTGAACACAGACTTTTGTGATTGTGGTCATTTTGGGTCCCACTTTTTCTTTTGCAAGTGGGTCCTACGGTCTACCGTGATTGTCGGCATGCTTCGTGACCCTCGGATATTCTTTTTTCTTATAACCTTTGCTTTGCGTTTAGTATGACACGTACCAATAAAAATGGCGGATGGATGAACGTTTAGAGAGAGGATTTGAATCATGATTTGTGACTAATTATAGTATTTTTTTTATAAAAAATATACGTAAATTAAAAATGATTATAATCTCATAATTTTAATTTATGAACCAAACGTTAAGACGGTGTTTATTTTAAAAATTTTGCATGTTTCGAATTATAGTTATTAATTCTTAAGAAATTTAAATTTTAAAAATCATAATTAAAATTATTGATTTAAACTCACAAATTAAACGGAATCTTAAGGCTCTACGAAAGTGAGTTTTAGAATAATGTTGTTCTAAGTATAAAAGATTTATTTATTAATTTTTTTGAGAATAGTTGTGGAATCATGTCGAAAGCGAGTTTAGAATATCTTCGAAGAAATATGTTGATCAATTCAATGTTCATATATACACTGCTTCTTAATAGTTGGGGTTGATGTGAAGTAATCCACACTAAAATAAAATTACATAATGTGGAAATTTATAAATTGTTCCCAAAGATATTTAATCTTGCGGCTATATCATTTTAAGTCCTTAATCATTAATAAGGACATAATTCTTACATATCATCAAATTTCCTGATAATATTAATTACTTGTTAATCATGAATATTCTTTATTTAGAGAAAAAAATGATAAACTTAATATTATAAAACTAATTAATAAACGAATTTTAGGATCACATAGTAGCCTAAAATATCCTGCTTCAACTATAAGCAACAAATATTGATCCAAAAAAAACAAAAAAAACAAAAGAAACTATAAGCAACAAATATAATCCCACTGAAACAAATATTTCAAAAAAAAAAAAAAAAAAGAAAAGCAATACACGTATATTAGATTTCTCTTTTGAGTTGACATTACAATAATAACTTTACTAATAAGATTTATAATAAAGGGATACTTTTGACATTTGAATAATGATATGAAAAATATATGCCTTAAATATAAATAAATTAATCATTCATTTGTTTCATAAGTTCAACTACTGTTTAAACTTTTTGTTACATTTTCTCTTATAAAATTTAAATTTCTATTTAAATTTTTCTGTTCAAATCTATCAACTAAATGAGACATAAGTTTGTGATAAGGTTGATTCAAATAATAGTAACTATAAGGGATATTTTTGTAATTAATTACAAAAAGAAATGATGGATGCCTCATGTCCCCACGTAACGATTCATCCTTGCTACTATCCATCAGCGACCACAATTAATAATGTATCATATATATATGTATATATATATATATGCGTGCATTTTGTCTTCAAAAACATGTCTTCTTCATAATAATCTTCTTTGTTTGCTGAGATCGTGTCAAGATTAGAATGTAACTTTTAATTATTAGTATATCACTAGTTCATAGCCTTACTAAGATTGTAAGACCTGTATATATGGTATGACTTATCAAATATAGTAATTCTAAAAAGGTTCGATAAAAATTCAAGTTATATATATATATATATATATATTTTCAACTGTAGTACCATTAAAATGGGTTTTTGTTTAATGATTCACGGGCTTCACTTTGATGGTAGATGTTGAGCCAATCTCTTTCAACTCTCGTTCACTCTTTTTCTCTATAAATATTATTTCTTGAAAATGATATATGAGGGTTACAGCTTATAATGCTTTTAATATCTAAAGTTGATAGTAAAGTTGATTAATTACGTACAAGGAGGTCATTTTGCATGTGAGAGTGGAGGTGCATAAAGATTGCTTATTTAGGTAAGGACTAGTTTACCATCATAATACGAGGCACATTGGTTTGTTGAAGTAGGTTTTACGTAAACACATTGGTGATGCATATATGCAAAAACTTAGCGCAACAAATAGATATCATTAGGCAAGAGTACTTTGTTGAAGTTGCGTTTGCTGATGCACATCAACGGCCTTGTATGATTTTGTTCCAATACTAGAAGACATTTCCTGCTTTTTATTTGTCATCTAATTAGAAAAAAGAGGCTACACTTTATGTGTCCACTACATGTATATATTAAACATTAACAACTTTCCCGATCTAGCTATTCTTACTTGATCTTTGCCCTTTTTAGGACTTAGCTTATACCTGAAGAAGGCGAATTAAACAGGCCGTGGTCCCATCAGTTTTGACCTAATTTTTTTATTCTTCCGATCTTCCGACTTCCGATCACTTACCAAAACAAACATTAGGGCACTTATAGACTTGAATCTTAAGTTTATATTGCATATCACCTCCTTGGTAATTCTATTCCCAACATTACGAGGGAAAACATTTTGTTTCTTTTCAAGCTTCCCTTCCCTTCTCTTTTTTATTTTTTTAAATACAATTAACAACCTATTTCTTTAAATTCTTCAAAGAAAATATTATGTATTTTTTTTTTCTTTTTGCAAAGGTGGAAAGAACCACTACTTCTGAAAATATTATTAATAATTACGATAAATTATTAAATAAATTAAGTGTACCATGTCATTTTATTTACATGGTATACCAAGCTAATTAAAAATTTACATGTCGATGCTAATTAAGTGTACCATGTCTATTATCATCCCCTTGGTATTTTGTTGCATTTTGCTTGTGTGGTACACTCAACTAATAAAAAATTGACATTTGGATGATAAAAAAGAATTGACATGAAAAAGTCATCTAAATGTCAATTTTTAATTAGCTGGATGTATCACATAAGCAAAATGATGTGGTACATCTGTTTTATTAAATAATTTATCGTATTTAACTTTTTTTTATAACTTTTTTAGTTTTTAGATGGGTTTAACTAACTACTAATTCTTAGTTTATGACACATCCTAAATTACCTGTTACCTCATTGAACATACAAACATATTTTAAGTTGGGGTAGAGTAGGTATAGATGGTAGCATTTCTCTTAGGTATAAAATATTGCCCAAAAGCTTATAATTGATCAACTATAATTAACTTATTCCTGTTAGTAGGTGAGGCTTTAAAAACATGGCAGAGCATTAAACGGAGCTGATGTAGGACATAATTTGAATTAAAAGATTACCATTACAAAAGCTCTACTTCCCTCAAACAGTCTGGTTGATTAATTTAATACTGATGTTGGATAACAAATGACTTAATAAGAAAATTTTATTAGTAAAATAAGCCTTTAAAAGTTTTTATTTGCAAAATTGATTGTGGAACGATTACTTTTTATGAAGAACAATCGAGTGATCATTCTTATAAAAAATGAAAAAAAAAGGTTATTTTATCAATTTCAATTTGTTAGATAATTATTTTAGCAAATTTCATGATCAGGTACTTGATAAATCATCAAATATTGTGAATCAAAATTAAAACTATACGGTTAAAGTAATAATAATAATAATAATAATAATAATAATAATAATAAAGAAAATTAACTATGAAAAACACAAATATAATATACATACAGAAATGTTAGTCAATCACAATTCACAAAGCAATCTTTTGAGAGACTATTTGATGCAAGTAAGCTTGTTTGAAGTCAAAACTAAAACCGTCACACAATTTGTTTGAAGTCAAAACTAACCGTCACGCAATTGCTTTTAAGACCCAACAAAAGTAGACACCTTGAAACAGTTTATTTCCATCAACAAAGTGGGTTGGTGATGCTGGTGGCTATAATACTACCTTTTTTTCCATCAAGTGAGCGTTTCAAAAGCTTTTGAGGGACAAACTTTATGCCTCAAAATTTGCATGCAGCTATTCAAGCAATAATAAGTTGGGTCAAACTCAACTGGATATTAAAGAAACTTGCCTAGCTACCCTATAAATGTAACTGCCCCTAGCCTTGAAAAAAAAAAATCACCGAAAAACTATGGGTGCGTTTAGAATTGGTTCCAAAATGATTTTGTTTTCTGTATAAAAATGAAAATGAAAACGTTTTCATTTTCATTTTGGAATTATTTCTGAAAATGCGTTTGGTAGTTTTATTCAGAGATTGATTTCAGTTTAAAAAAAAACTGAAACTACGTTTGGTGGTTTAATTTTTAAAAACATGTAATAATATTTAAAATAATAATATAGCAGTCGGAGAAGAGTTGGGGGCCGCCGCAAGCCCAATGCTCTCTGGTGCTCGCCGTCGTCATTCTCCTAGCGGCACTACGCTAGCTTGCTGAAGTCAGACGATGTCGTGGAGCTCCCGCTTTTTCCTCTCCCTCTCGGGTGGGCTGCCGCCGCCACCGCTTCGGCGTCATCTACTCCGGCGCCGTCTCCGGTACCGTTGACGTCGGCTGCGTCGGCGAGGTCGTCGAGCACGCTTCTTCCTAATCTGCAAAGGCCATGAGGAGGATACACGTTCATGTATGAGGTGGAGTCGAGGGTCTCTGGTGGGCTGAAGAGAAAAAAGGAAAACGAGGAGAAAATGAAAACAAGTTTTTTTCGTTTTCAGATTTTTAGAAAACGACAAAAACTATTTTGTTTTTGTTTTGTAAAATTTTTTACGCCAAACGCGTTTTTTATACACGTTTTCAGTTTTTAGCCTTGAAAAATGTGAAAAATGAAAACGGAAACAGAAACAAATAGGGCCTATGTATGTTGAAACTTTGTCACAAATTATGGAGGAAAATGC